ACCTACACAACTTTCCCACAACACTACAGTATATCACTGCCTAAAAATAAAAAAAGAACTAGAAATTAGAAATAATAATAAAAAACTGACAAACATTGGTTAAGTTATACTGATAAGCACAGAAACAACATAAGCTTGATTGATTAAAATCTTAATTCAATGATTTAGAGGTATTATTGCATACATTTGTTCCCTTTTTTACAATCTTCTAAAAACAACAAATGCAGCAGCATTGTATTGATTCTTTATTCTGCAACTTTTTGTTCAGTCTAAAAAAATATTTCTCTGGTAGTGTTCATTTACACGATTTTCTAAGCCACACATGTTTATATTCTGGTGTACACAAAATGTCCTGCAAAGCATAGAAAAAGCTTCACAGACATCATTTTAAACTAAGAGAAGATAAACTGAAATGCTTATATGCAAGCTGAAGACAAAACAATATACTTCAATTTATGCTGAACTGAAAATATTTTTAAAACACTAACTATACACATGGAAAAAATTGCCATATGTTAAATGTTATTAACTATATAATCATTTTAACACTAGTCTGTCTTATGAAAAAAACAAATTCACAGTGAAACCTTGAAGAAATATTACAATTCAATTACACAATGGCTTATGCAAAAAAATACATTTTACATAAAATATAAACATTGTACAAAAAGGAATATATGTTTTGAAATGCATTTGCCGAAACAGCAAGGCAATGGGGATTCAGTATTACAAGTGTTATTCTAAAAGCCTTTTCCTGCTTAATTGGTTTTAAAACCTTTTTTTTCTTTTTAGAGTATAGTTCCATACTCTGCACTAACAGTGGTGAATCTCACATATATACAAATATAATATCCACTAAAGGAATATGCCTCATGTGTCCTAAGATTACAGAATACAGGAAAGCAACCAGCAGGCTGTCACTGCAGAGCTCAGTAAGGGGTGCTAACTCTTGTTGCTAAGAAACGGGAAGTAAAGTCCTATTTATAGAGCATAACATCTCTACCTTAGTATTTCTGATGCAGTGCAAAAATGTCAGAAAACTATAAGCTGAAACACAGGGCTCCAAATTCGTTGTACATAATAAATGTATTGAAATGTACCACAATTGAGCCTTAATGCATTTCCTTGCAGTACAGTTATTAAAGATTAGTATCAGGCAAGAAATTAAAGGAACATCAGTCTGTCCCATGAAGACAGAATTATGTTTGGAACTTATTAAATCGGGTGTTAAGAAAAACACTTGCACTCTACCACATCATCCCTTTCTAATTCTAAATAGTTGACCAAAAAATATTATATTCTTTTTAAGGAGAGGTATTAACAATTGAGATTACAAAGCCAAGTTTGTCTTCAAATAAATTCTTATGCAAAAGCCCAGGAGCATTTATGCCAGAACTTGAAAAAAAAGGGGTGAAAACAAATATTAATTTGTAACACACATTTTCTGCATTAAGCATCAACATGAAGGGTGTTGAACCCTCAATCTTTACAATTACAAATGGTTACTCCTAATACAAAAATAAAACGCATTGTCAAAAACTACACAAAGTCTCACTTTCAGATTGTATACATACAGTAATGTAATGTGTATTACTACTGGTCAGATAACAACACTGTGCAGCAAATTCTGCTATTTAGTACTGCGACCCACTCTGAGGGGGAAAATGACATCCTGAATTAGGGTAACTGGGTGGGGGAGGGGGTGGGGGAGGAGGCTGATGGAAGGGGGCACCATGAAGTGGAGGTGGAGGCCCCATCTCATGATGAGGCCATGGCATATTCATAGCAAGGTGAGGGGGGAAGGGAGGGGGGAACGGAGGCATTGCATTTGGGTACTGAGGTGGTGGAGGGTAGGGACAAGGTAACATAACACGTTCGTGTGGATGTCGGGGATGGGATGGAAATGGTCCAGGTAGTGCCATCATTCTGCTGTCCTGAGGAAGGAATGGCCTGTTTGAGAATGAGAAACTTCTGTTTGGAAAGCTCCCCTCTTCAGAATGGGGGTTGTATCCCCAGTGCTGAACATTTCTACCCTCTTGCCTAGGTGGAGTTTGGATCTGTTGTCCATACTGCATGGGTTCCCTAAAGTTGTTGTTGTCTGGAAAAAAAAAAGCAAGTGAATTTTGTCAGTGAAAGGGTTACAACTGAAAATCTCACTGAGACTGAATGTAAGAATTCCTAACTCAACCAGGTCTTTAAATACTGATAATAATTTAATATACCATAAAGTAAACACAATGAAGTGATAAGCTAAAAATAAACTTACATATCTTAAAAGATATAACTAAAGTGTATATCTTATTCACTTTGAAGTTCCTACCATGAGCTAAGTTGCATGTTCATACGCTGTACTCTTCTCAAACTTTACAATACTTGTTCTCAGTACTTTATCACTCTATGTAATCCACTAAACCTAATTTGTTTAAATTGACTATTTTTGGCAGTTCACATTGTTTTCTCATTTCAAGCTTCTAATCACCCTATACAGTTTATTGTGCAATGTTGCTAAGAGTATACTTGTTAAATATTCTGCAATGAACTTGTCGTTAGAATGTGAAGGGGACAAACACCTCTTTCATCCATACTTGTCTCTTTAGGACTTTGGAGATGCATTAATGTAGAACAGAAGGAAAAAACAAAGAAGAAGCAGGAGCATAGGAAGAGAGAGAAGTCCGGAGGAGTTGGGAATTGAAGCTTGTGCCAGGCGAGAGCCCCTACTTCATGATCATTCAAACCAAACTTGATTGGAGCTGAGTATTTGAACCTTGTTAGAGAGAACGTGATATTCTGTGTTTTAGGTTTCCTGGGTAAAAGATACCTCAGTTAGATACCTCTTTCCTGCTTAGGGTGCACTTTTATGGATAGGGATATAGGCTCCCATTTATTTTGTGGCATCCAGGGTGCAGAGGGAGAGATTTAACTGCATGTTGCTTTGCATTTAGAAGGCAGTTCATCTCTTAAGTGGCCTCTGTAGGCATTAAGAGTTTAATGTTTAGTAGCAGTCTGGAGTTTTCTGGGTGACCAGAATGTTAGGCCTCTGAAACACCTTGTTTGTTAATACTGTACATAAAGTACCTTGTGTGTTGTGTGTAGTGTAGTTCAGGTGGGTAGCTCCGTCAGCATTCTTTTTTTCAGCATGGAATAAACCTATTACTTGTTCGTGTGTAGTGTAGTTTGTGTTTTGTCATTGTAATAAATATTTGTTTAACCAAGTGTGCCTGGATAATTACTTTTCTCACCAAAGCTGTGCTAGAGGACAAAGAACTCACATGCCTCTAATTATACGAGCCGCTCAGGTATATTGCTGGAAAAAGCACTTACAAGTTGGGGGTTATGAATAATTACTTCACTTATTGACTATACCGCTTGGTGAAATCCTGATATCCACGATTTTCATAACCCCCCATTTGTAACAATATGCTAACAGTTACTACTTTTTAAAATAAATAACTACTTTGGTTTTAAGATGCATGTTTTAATCTGCTATAATTTACCAGAAATACTATTAAAATGTATAAATATATAAAAAATGTTTGCAAAAATGCTTCAATTCATGTAACACACCGAGATTTTTAAATTTCCAGGATCAAAAAATGATTCTGGAGATTCCATTGTTCTGTTTTCATCTTATTTAACAAATATTATTGTTACATAGTATTTAACAGATACATATGGCATTCACAAGAAACAAAAATGCAGGAATATCATTTAAATTCCATTTGAATATAAAAATGCAAATTATGTCTTAAACTTGCCTAGATAGATATAAATAAAGTTTGAAGCTTACAGATTTTTTTCCCCAAACAAAGCACATGGGGAAAATCAGTGCATTTTGCCTGAGGCTTGACAGTCCATAAAAATGTCTTTAATAGGTTTCATTGAGATTTACTGGAGAAATCAGGGCTACTGCTTCAGAGGGACACACTATTCCCTGGAAAGTACAGCAGTGATCTCTAAGAGGCATTACAGGTCACACATTTCATAACACATTTCATAACAGAAAAAGTGTTCCATTTTCTTGTTAGGAGTATTCTGATGGATTTTCAAAATTTGCACAGAACTATTTAACTGTTTGCTCTAAAACAAAAATTAAGAGTATAAGATAATTTGGAAACAGGGCTAGTAACATATAATATGGTTTTTTTGGGGATTACGTGAAGGTATTTGCAATGAAATACTCACTTGACTCCTTTTGATCAAAACGTTTCTGCTTTTTCAACTGATTCTGGGGTTTTTTCTTCTTTTGTTTGGCTTCCTTTTCTTTTTCATCATCACTGAAATCCAAAGCCTGAAATATTGTAAATCCCAAATAAATATCATGATTATTAACTGTAGTTCTATTCTAATTTAGAGGAATGCCCACTTAATAATTAATTAGGTAAAGCATGTTATGCTATTCTTAATGGGCAACAAACTGTATAATAGCACATAAAACATGACTAAAATATACTATTATACAAAAACAAATACCTGATTTTTAGTAAGCAATCATAAGTTTTAGTTACTTGTTGTATTTAGAAATTAACTAAAAATTGTTGACTATGATATACTATGGAATATATAGTAAGTAAGTATTCATTCTGAAATGAGTAATGATTCCTGCATGTGAACCTGGAACCAATTTGAATGCAGTTTAAGTCTGGAAAATTAAACCTTTTGTTGCTTCTTTGTCATAGTTTTTTAATGTTAAGAGAAATATGAACCTAAAATGGCCAGCAGCCACATCACTCTGCAAGTTACAACGTGCAACCCACTGAAGCTAAGTGGGTGTGAGCCTGGTCAGTACCTGGATGAGAGGCGAAAAACTCTCTGTGGTCATTAAAAAATCCCAGGGTGTTTCTTGAAAAGTGTAGGGGTGTAACCGCGGCGTCCTGGCCAAATTTCCCATTGGACCTTACCAATCATGGCCTCCTAATAATTCCCATCTATGAATTGGCTTCATTACTCTGCTCTACTCCCCACTGATAGCTGATGTGTGGTGAGCGTTCTGGCGCACTATGCCTGCTGTGGCATCAACCACATTGGTGAATGCTGCACATTGGTGGTGGTGGAGGGGAGTCCCCATTACCTGTAAAGTGCTTTGAGTGGAGTGTCCAGTAAAGCGCTATATAAGTGTAAGCAATTATTATTATTATTACAATAATAATTAATACAATATATTTTATATGATAAAGTTTAGTGTAAGAAGGTAATTTTTTAGTTAAAAGGGAACAGTAACAATGATACTATTTAACAACCATTTGTGTATTTTTAAAAATAATATCAGTTTATGATATATGATGGAAATTATGAAAACATTAATACCCAATGCAAAATCTACAGAAATCAATTTTGCAGTTAAAATTAAAGATGGAAACACTTAATAAAATTGCTGATGGGTATTGTTCACAAATCTCCAAATGTTCCAATTGGTACAGTACTAAAGCTTCATAATACTTAATATATTCCACTAATGTGGGCAAACAGTAATTGATTGTGTAAATCTCCATCCCCCTTGAGTCAATATCTGGTAGAGGGAGCTTTGGCAGGAATTAGACCCAAGAAATTAGCCTTCTTGGGTAAGCCTTTACTAGCTTTGCAAATCTGGACACTGCAATCTTTGTCTTTCTTTTTTGCAGGTTGTGGATTGTTGGTGAACAGCATTTTTCAACTCCTGCCACAGGTTCTTGGTTAGACTGAGGTCCGGGCCTTAACTGGGTCACTCCAGAACATTGACATTTTTGTTTTTAAGCCACTCCGGTGTGGCTCTGTCCGTGTGTTTTGTGTCATGGTCTTGCTGGAAGATAAATCTTCTCCCAGGTCCTGGGACTCTTGTAGACTGCAACAGATGTTCTTCCAGGATTTCTATGTACTTTTCTACATCCATTTTACCTTCACAGGGCTCTGATGTAGCGAAGCATCGCCATAGTATGATGCTGTCACCCCCACACATCATACAGGTGGGTGCAACACTTGGTGTTGGTGGAGGGGAGTCCCCATTACCCGTAAAGTTTTTTGAACAGAGTGTTAGGAAAAGCCTTATATATATATATTCCTTATATAAATGTAAGGAATTTATTTTATTTATGCCTTGCAGTAGAAATAATGTTCTCAGGATAATGTGCAGTGTTATGCACCGAACACAGTGCTTAGATTTTAATCTTATTTCACTTCTCAGGGTCTCAGAGTTTCCCCACATACCTTCAGACTGTAGATCTGATGCATTTTTTTTTTCCCACCAATGGCTTTTATTTTGCCACTCTCACATGCTGCCCAGAATTGTGACGCACCCAGGCAACTGTTGTCATATGTACAGTTTCTACCAACTCAGCCATGGAAGTTGTAATTTCTTTACAGTTGTCATAGGTCTCCTGGAGGCGTCCCTGGCTAGTGCTCTTTACTCCAAAAACTTTTCTTCTTTATAATGGATTCTACTTTAGGAGATATGTAATGCTTTGGAAATTTTCTTATACACTTCTCCTGATTGGTGCTTTTCGAAAACCCATTCCTGGATAGCTTAGAAACTTCCTTTGTCTTCACAATGCAGTTTTGTTGGGAGCTGAACTGATCAATTGTGGGACCTCCCAGAGACAGGTGTATTTAACCTGAACTCACGTGAGACACCTTTATTGCACACAGGTGGACTCCATTCAACTATGTGGCTTCTAAAGACAACTGATTGCACCAGAACCTATTTAGGTGTGACATAGCAAAGGTGGTAAATACTGATGCAATAATTTATTTTCTGTTTTAATATTTATAAATATGGATAGCACTGTGGCAAAGTGGTTAGCATTGCTGCCTCAAAGTGCTGGCGCTATAAGTTCAGTTTTGTACCACACACAGTCCAAAAACATACCTGTAGGTTTAATTAGCTTTTGGGAAAATTGGCCCTGGTGTGATTGTGTGTATGTTTGTGTTCCTGTGTGTGCCCTATTCTTTTCAAGGAAAAAGCACTTAGAAAATGGATGGACATTTCTAATTAATTTAGCGGGATCTGTAGAAATCTGTTTTCACTTTGATATTATAGAGTGATTTTTGGTGATCAAAGACAAAGAATTTCAATCAAAAACATTATAATTCCAAATTTTAATATAATAAAATGTGACAGTCCAAGTGGGGTGGATACTTTTTATGGCCACTGTAATGGCAAATGAAGAGGCTCTAGGTCTGGAAGGTATGTTAACTGTCCTTTTGAACACACAAGCCTGTCTCAGCAAACGTTTTCACATGTATGGTTAACATTGCTGCACTTAAAAGACCAGAAAAGCAAGGTTTTTCTTCTGCAGTTCTCAGTTATGGAGTGCACTCTCTAGTATGAAACAGAGAGAAAAAAATACTATTTGACTTCAGAGAAAAACAAAAGCAGACTATACTTACCTCAGGGGGTGGTTCTTGGTCATTTTTCCATGATGCATCAGAACCTCTCTCACTAAAAGATATTATTAAAGATATTCAGAATAGAAGTTCAGAAATGTTTAGCTTTTGTCTGCAATGTCCTGAAATGTATGTTAGGTTAAATAATGAAGCCAATTACAAAAATAAGATTTAAAAATGTATTTACATTTTTACACACCCCTTTAAGAAAAAATGTGTTTTTTTGTCTCTACTCACAAATGGTTCTACTAATCTTCGATATGTTATTATTCCGCCTGACTACATGCACAAAAAATGCAAAGAGTTTACATTAAATTACAAGAAAACAGACTTTTGAGTCACATAGAATTGAACAGCGTAACACTAAGAGCTGTTATCCATCACTAAATCAGACTACCGGCAGCTACTTCAGAAATCCCATTAGCAAGATCAGTTCCACTCTTCCCTGTAGAAACTACAATTTCAGGTGTAGCTGGTCACTCATGAGATACATGCTTGCATTAAGGGAAGTGCTCTACAAGAGCTATAGCAGCATCTTAAAAACCCTGATTTTTATAATGATATACATTATTCTTCTCAATCTAGAAAAGTGCTATTCAACAAATGGCATTTTTTGTGCAAAATGGTGAGCTAGCCATTTCATCCACTTCACATTGGATGAGATGTGGTCCTTGGTGCTTCACAGCACTTGTATATATCACATCATTAACTAGGATTCAGGAGCAGAATAGCAACAAGAGAGTGTTGCACAAGGAAACTAATAGGTCATGCTTATAATTAACATTGTTTGAAAAAAAACATTTAAATCAAAACCAAAAAAATAAATTATTACAGCATAGATTATCCCTCTTTTATGTACATTGTCCTGAAAGTTTTATCACCATTATTGCCACCATTATAATTCCTGTTATAGCTTGCATTCATAAAGTTAAGCATGATGAATGAGGCGACACATTATGAATAAAAAATAACAGTATTAAGAGAGGTTGTCATGGCAAGCAGTACAGATATAACTGTATAGGTACTACTTCATTCAGTTAGTTACTTTATGAGCCTGCTTTCACTCTCATGTAGCTATACTATGGTCTGGAGACTACAGCACTCCTTAAATGTAGTTATAATTTACATTTATATTCATTAGTTTTCTGCTGGCCTTCAGCATATACGTTATAGATCAAAAACTGGTATGTAGACAACAGTGATGAAAACTGCATTTAAAAACATTAGGTGCTTGTTGTACAGTACATTTGTTTAAATCAACAAACCATTAATCATTGAGGAGCACACGCAAACTATTAATGACTGCTTAATACATAATCATGCACTGCCAAATAAATGACATACAGAGAGAAATTAATAACGTAGATGGCTGTAATTCAATTTTGCATAGTTGTATTTTATGCAGGCAATAAAAGTTTAAATAGCTCATTCATAAATTCATAATTTATCATTATCTTTCAGAAAAGTTAATTTATAGATCACATTTAAGATCAAAGCTGCAAAACAAAAATAATTTGCGCAGTATAAATTGATTAAAATTAAGTACGTAAAATAAGACGTTAACAAAGTTTAGAAACAGTGACTGGGGTTTGCATGGATTGAAGCTTTTTTCACAAATGAAAATACTAGACCAGAGTGATGTGAACACGTTTTATCAATGTATAAAAATGGTTTGTTATAAGGGTAGATGTCTGAGACGCGTTTCTTATGAAAAAGGGTTGCTGTTAGTGCACTGGTAATCAAAGAAGAAAACAACAAAGCTCTTCCTAGAACGTAAACATGACCGAGTACTGCAGATTAAATAAAATACATTGCACAGCCATGTATTTTTAGTACATTTCTTTTTCATATCCACAGATGATATATAATTTAATAGTTGAGTCCCAAAACAAGCAAATTATTTATCCCAATCCTGTGTTTGAACATACAGAACTTGCTTCCACCAATCTTGCTGGCCTGAATTCATTTTTATCTCTACGGAACAGAAGAAAATTTCACTCCTCTGATGATTTGGCGATTCACATATCTAGATCTCACATCCTTTTGATTAAAACCAGAAGAGAAAAACTAATTAGCCAAGGAGCACACTTTAAAGACCTGTCAAATTTGAAGAACCATATTCTAAACTAGACATCTATTTTGCTCATTGCTTCACACAGGCCACATTCCCCAAAGAATTAGGTGAATGGCATTTTCACTTAATTCATCCATAAAGTATCCTGTAATCTTAAAGTCTGATGGTAAAACACTACACACACAAAATATAGTTACTGCAGGATTTGATACTGTAAATGCCAGTGAAAAATGGATGATAGATTAAATCAATGTCATTTGTATGCATTAACTAAATATTGCTCTGAATTCAATTTAATTACAGGATAGCTGTTCTTGAGGCTGTGCCCTTGTTTACACCATTCTGAACATTCGGTACCTTAAAAGTACAAACACCTTAGCAAAAGAGAGAAACATCACTCATGAAATCGCTGAAATCACTGAAACCTATTATTTTAAGGTGAAAAATACAAATAATTCTATAATGTATATCTTACTCTTTTCTGTGGTTCCATCAAGAGATTATTAGTCATCCCAAGACCTAAATAACTGTATGATCCTGTACATCTTTCAAATAAGACTGAAGAATATAAGCCAAACATGCTGTAAATTAATATGCATGTCACAGAAAAGAGACAATATTGTTTTCATTAATATTGTTCAAGCCCAAGAGTAATCATTTTGAGTATGATAGTATAATTAGGCCACTACGCTCGGTTTCATAACATATCCGTTATGTATTTCAGTCCTCCAGTCCCAAGATACTGAAAAACCATTATACTGGCTAACTTTTAATTTCAATTAAGTATGTTTTTACTACAGATTACTACGTGCTGACATTCTGCTTAACCATTAAGATTGAGATTTAAGGTGTTAAGATGTCTGGAAACTTATAGTTTTTTCCAGGGTAATATTAACACCAACAAATTCCTCTAACAAGTTGCATACATCAGCATGAGTATCCAACGTTTTTTTTAACTTTGCTTTCTTTTCCAGATATCTCCATCTCATTACTATCGATTTCAGGCTTTTGTTATGTGAAGTTAAATATTTGTCTAATGTAATCTTTGAATGGGGTCCAAAGTGATATTTCAGGTTGTATAAAATACTCATCAATGTACATACACCGAATGGATATGATTACATGGTTTTGCTGTAGTTGACACACCCATTAATAATTCTCACAAAGTATGTAAATTTCTTGAATGGCTACAAATGCTTACCATACCCCTTCTCTCTAAAAAAATCTATTATTTTCTGAATAATCACAAATTCTATGTTCATTTCTCAATTTTTCCTAACATGTGTGCAGCTGGTGATACAGGGGCACACACAACAGTAGAACAAAAATGCAGATTTTCAAACCAAGTCATTCAGAATGCAGAGCCCCACATCACAAACTGCAAGAGGTTATCATCCACCTTTAAAAAAGTAGTAGCCTGCTTTCAGCACTTAAAGTGTATGAAATATGAAAAAGTGTTAAAACATACGATTGCAATAAATGTGTGCTTGTGAGTCGGCATTTGCAAATGTGAGCTTTGCCATATGCGAGGGTCACAAGTTTAAAATTTTTTCAAGGAATGTGCAGCACAGTTAGCTGTTGTTTTTACAGACATTTTGAATATCTCCCTGTGCCAGGCGGTAATTCCTGTATGTTCCAAGACCACGATTATACCAGTGCCGAAGAAGACTACCATGTCCTGTCTCAATGACTATCGCCCTGTGGCACTCACACCAATTATCATGAAGTGCTTCGAAAGGTTAGTCATGGGCCCCCTCCAGTTTGTGTATCATCCTGACCAGTCTACCCATATCCTTCGCCCTTCACCTTGCCCTGTCCCATCTGGATAAGAGGGACACTTATGAAAGAATGCTGTTCATTGACTTAAGTTAGCATTCATAGATTCGGGACTTTCTGACCGAGAGATCTCAGACAGTCCGGATTGGAAACATCTCTAGTACCACCATACTGAACACCAGAATCCCCCCCCAGGGCTGTGTACTCAGCTCGCTCCTGATCACACTGATGACTCATGATTTCACTGCTAAACACAGTGCAAATGACATTATCAAGTTGGCTGATGACACGGCAGTGGTGGGGCTCATTAGTAACAATGATGAGGTACCATACAGAGAGGAGGTGGAACAATTAGCGGACTGATGCTTAAACAACAATCTGTCTCTGAATGTAGATAAGACAAAAGAGGTAATAATTGACTTCAGGAGGGGTCACGCCGATCACTACATCACATCAACAGCTCCCCTGTGAAGACAGCTACAAGTACTAAGTTTCTTGGTGTGCATATCACAGATGACCTCACTTGAACCATCAACACCATCTCCCTAGTTAAAAAAGCACAACAACTGCTCCACTTCCTGCGGCAACTGAGAAGGGCAAACCTCCTCATACTCTCCACATCCTATAGAGGTACCATCAAGAGCACCTTGACAAACTTTATCATTGTTTGGTTTGGGAATTGTAAGGTCTCAGACCGTAAGTCCCTGCAATGATATGGCAGGAAACATCATTGGAGCCTACTTTCCGTCCCTTCAGGACATCTACCACAAACTCTGCACACACAAAGCCTCCAGTATTGTGGACGATCCCTCCCACACCTCCTGCAACCTCTTTGCCCTCCTACCATTTGGTAAAAGGTATCGCAGTAGATGGGCCAGCTCCACCAGACTCCATAACAGGTTTTTTCCACAGGCTCTCAGGCTCCTCAACAAGCTCCTGGTACCTAATGCACCTACTCCAAATCTGGAAACTTAGTTCTTTTTTGCCTCACGTCAGGCATACTGTCTGATGTATTCTTTGCACAGTCCTGTAAAGTAAATTGCACTAGCACATTGCACTTTATGTACCCTGTCAGTAATGTCTATGTCTACATTGTCTATAGCACTGTCTTGTCAGTGTCTTGTCTGTATTCGCACTGTAGACCTGGAGAACAATATTTCGCTTATCTGTGTACTTGTCTATGGCTGGAACGACAAATAAATTTGAACTTAAATGACACCGAAATTTAACTCTGAGAAAGTGAGGAAACAGGGTCCAAGAAAGAGGTTGCCAGAGACAACACAACAAAAAATTCTAGGTAAAGGTTCTTTCCATGCTAAATGTTTCAGCCAAAACTTGTGCCTTTCCTTCACATTCTTATAGTGTGGAATTAACTTTTACCTGTTCCTTTGGAGGATCTGCATGCTCACGCAGCTACTTTCTCGAACGTCTTCAACAACAAAATTCTTTATCTAAGGAATCCGAGGCCTTTCTATCCACCTTCATCCAGCAGTGCTTCCACATGTCAATGTCCAAGGAGGCCACTTGTGATCTCAGGTCTCCACAACAGCATTGTAGCTGATAAAAAAATTAGGTAACCAATTTTTTTACTAAACACTATAACTACTTAAGGTGACCCTTTAACCATCAGTCATTAGTAGTCGCAGAGACACCAGAATTCAATGCATTTGTCCCAGCTACAGTAATATGTTAATTAAACATATTGCTGTCTGGCCTTCACACTTTTTCTGAGGTTCTAAATGTTTCTGCAGCACTACAGAAGTCAAATTTATGTTGAGAATGCTGCCAACAGGGATGTATGCAAATTAATTAAATATTCCAAAAGCTAAACTAATCCCTCACAAAAGCAAAAAGCTTTATCTCACAAGTTCAGTCTTAGAACTACATTGGTCCAATTGGTTATAGCAAACTATTCAATAAAATTAAAACTTCTATTATAGCCATAATAAAAGCTTTTTTAAAACCAATGACATGTGAAGAAATAGAAATAAAAGTGATTTAAATACATTTGAGGGCTTTTTAAAACTTAATATTTGCGTATAGTACTTTAATTACATATTTCCTTTTCAATATTAAAAGGCTGACTGCGGGACCCTTGTACCTTATTGCAAGTACCAGAGTACAGGGAGTGTGTAAAAACTGATAAAACTCATGCTGAAATATAATCCAAGGAGAGGAAGTGGAGCTGTTAACATTTTTATGCATCACTGAGTTTTGCATTTTAAGTCACGTTGCAATTTGCATACATTATGATATATATAAAAATTTATAAAAATAAAATTTTATATAGTACAGATTCATAAATGTTCTGTTATTCAGAAGCATGCATTTGTTTCAAAGAAACTTTGAGTTTAAAATGATATAACCTACGAGATATTACACTTTAATTTTAAGCATCCTTTAACAAATAGAATGAACTGTAAACATTCAAATTCAACCTAGCAAAAACTTGTGTATAACATTTCAGATTTTCTCTGTGCAAAACTAAATCCTCACTGCTAATAATGAAAAAAATAGTAGGATAAATAACATTTATATGTTATATAATTTTTTTAAGTTACCATATTTTGTAACAGTGACATCAGTTGCACAGTTACCTTTTATACTCAACTTGAAACAACAAACTGTATTTTAGACATTCTTCCTTACTCCTTGACAAAAATCATCTGGTTTTTTTATTTCAAAGACTACAAGAAATGAAAAGGAAAAGGTAAATCTGTATATATACACACGAATGTACAGTTTAATCCATAATTATTGGGACAATAAAATGAAAATTTCTGTTGTATATTCAGGGAATTTGGAATTTAGATGAAAAGATAGATATGAGGCAAAAATACAGATTGTAAACTTTTTGGGTTAATTCTGTGCTATATGTCGTACTATTTTAGAATAATACCACTTTTTGTGCTTGATCCCCCCATTGGACCATTGGCTGCCAGTTGTTTCTTATTAGTCAGGTGTATCCTTTTGCATTGATTGTGGACATAAAAATGGATGTGAATTTGTACTGTTGGATGTAGCCTTTGCTCTTCACTTTGGAGTCAGAAGGGCCTAAACCATCAAAAGACTAGAGAACTGTTTTGAATGAAAAGCCAGCAATTTGGATGTCTGGGGGAAAAAAATCAATCAGAACCACAGCCCGGAAACTGGGCATAGTAAAGTCAACAATCTGGCATATCCTGGAAAACAACTGCAGCTGATGGTAGAAAAATTATTAGAGCTGTGAAGAAAAACTCATGGACTCATGGCTGAAATCACCAACATCTTCCCCATTGGCGGGGTAAGCTACTTTTCGCAGTAGAATTTAAAGGCTATACTGCAAGATGTAAACCCCTCATTAGCACCAAAAATAGAGAAAACAATTACAATTTGTAACAAAAAGTACAGAGGTGAGCCAGTACAGTTCTGGAATGAAGTGTGACAGATGAGAAAAACATAAACCTCTACCAAAGTGAGGACAAGATGAAAGTATGGAGAAAGGAGGAAAACTCCAGATGATGTAAAACATACTACTTCACACATGAAACATGGTGGAGGTAGTGTCATGCCTTGGCAATGCATTACCTCCTCTGGAACTGCCTCACTCATCTTTATTAATGATATAACTAATGATTGTAGCAGCAGAATGACATCAGAAGTTTACAAAAACATCATGTCTGTCTGTATACAAGAAAATGCCTCCAGATTTATTGGCCAACAACGAATTGGCCAGCCCCTTATCATGCGGCAAGGCACACTGCCAACGCAACCAAGGAGTCTGAGGGGTAAAAGGAAACCCCCAAAACCAACAGCAAATGAAAATGGCTGCAACCAAGACTTGGCAAAGAACCTAAAACAAACAAGCCAAGAGTTTGGTACTGCCAATGGGTCACAGGCTGGATACAGTTATTGCGTGCAAAGGACTTGCAACCAAATGCTATAAGGTTTAATGCTAATTTAATCTACTATAAGTTACTGTAATTTGTCCCAATACTCATGGTTCATTACAACTGGGGAATGGAACACAAAAAGTGGCATATGTGTAGAAATATCCAAAAATAAAAGATTACATTCTGTACTGAATTTGTGGCATAATTATGGAAGGCACTGTATACTGACCATGCTCGGTTGAGAAGAAATCCCCTAGCTATAAGCGCTTTTTACTTAAATCTATATTAGGTGATGTAACTTATAAATAAGACTGTCATATTTTCTATTTGTAAAAAAAAAAAGAGTGATATGGTACTTCAGAGTAAGAAAACATTCACCCTATGGATATCATGTTACACTTGACAGAAAATTATATTCCATAAGCAGCAAGCATTCCTCACACTCCTGCACTAACACTATTCCCATTATTACTCTCTCTCCAAGGCTTCAACCTACATATGCAAAAACACTTTCCATATCTACTTGATAGAGCAGATGTAAACAACCACTAATCGCAGACACACAACAGAATGGTTGTCAAGCAAACAATGTTTCTACAACAGAGGAAAATACTGCTGTTTCTAAGCAAAATTACAATGAATCCTAAAGCCTTCAACGCCATAACTGGGTAGTGATCTGGGTAGTAAAAAAAAATGTTTTCTCATCCACATATGCATTTTTTTTCCAGCTCATTACATTTTAGTTAACACATGGGCAATTCACATCAGCACAACACAAAACCTTGAGGAACAAACTGAACTAGGAATTCTAAACTAAACAAAACTAAAACACTAATAGTAACATATTAGCTTTATCTATGTTTTTAAATATATGTCAAATCCAATAAAGCATCCAAATAATAGTTACATTGAATTTGAAATGTTATTTTTGAAGCACTTCTGACTATAGTTTTTCAATTTAATTTTAACATGACTAATAGAATTGTTATCCCTATAATATGGTAACCACAGGGAAAGCAAGCAAACACAAAGTATTTTAACCCTCTATTGCAAATCAGCTCATTGAAAACATTTGTAGAATTTTAAAATCAGGATATAAGTGAATAAGTCATTAATAACATTCTATGGCTACTGTAAAACCTAGGCATTTGTTTATTAACATTTGGCCTCTAAAAGCCTAGCAAACTATGACTACAAACACAAAGGGGCAGACTGCACCCTGATACTTTATTTCTTCATTCCATGGCTACTGTTGACAGACGATAAAAAATAACAAAACAGTTCAAGTAAAGGAACAGCAGTGAGCAAACAATGTCATTAAAATGAATGTTTGTTTAAATATGTTGCAATATTAATTAAAAACAACGACCTGACGCTCTTGTGGAAAAGTTTCTCCTTCATTAACGCTTATAATTTTAGCTTTCATTCCTGATTTATATACATATACAATGCTTTCAGCGATAAAAGTTTACCATGAAGAGCCACCAAATAAACTGGAAAAAGCAATACATACTTAAAATACCACTTAACAATAAAACTTGTAAACAAAGTCTCAGAGGTCACTATATTTTCATTATATTTGGGGCCTGATTTTCCACGATTTGTAAATTTGACAAAAAGGACACTACTGATGTTCAGTTAAGTTATATCAAACTTAGTGCTTGCGAAAATCAATCTGCACATTCACTCAATGTTATAATTTAAAGCTTATAAATTCCTTTAAAATCAAAACAGTATTACTCATTAGTACATTCTTAGTGTTTTTTTATTTATATTTATAATTATGTTTTAAGGAACTTAACTGGTTTTGTAATTGTTACACTAAAAGAACATGAATGATTGTCAGAAAAGCTAGTATCTTTGGAAATGTCATTAAATGTGGACCATGCTCTGACTTTAACAGGATCTTGGAAAATAAAAAAAAAACAGATTTTACTCACATACAATTTGAAAAATCAGGCCTGTCAAATTCTTTTTTTAAAGATTTTGATTTGACTTACTTTTGAAGTTGTTCAGTGAAGATGTACTCAGTAAAGTCTTTCACAGAAGGTGCAAAATAAACTGTATCATGCATTTTGAGGTCTTTCGCTGTAATGTGCTCTACAGAGTTGAAGCGAAGAACATAGTATGGATGGAACACAGGTCCAAAAATTTCGAATACCTAAGAAGAAAAATATATTGGTTACTTTTTAATTCCTTCTCCTAAAGCAAAGTGATGCTCAAAAAAAGATATATCTCATCATACTCTACAATGCATTTCAAGTATCACTAGCAGCTAAAACTACATGAAATTCAACAGAGTTATACCCAAGAAAAACACTGCATACAGTCGTCACTCATAAACCCAATTAAATAATAACATTTCATAAATTTGCATTTTTATTCATAAAGAATGAAAATAATGTTGACTTCAAACACCTGAAACCATATGTCCTGAATAAACCAAAGCATGAGTGCTCATGTCTCTGCATAGAATTATGTGTATTTCAGCTTAAAAGCTTAAGCCGTATTTAAGCTGACGGTCTAATCAACATTTCACTACATAGAACAAAGTCTGTTACGGCAGACACAAACAACACTAAAAATATAAATTTTGGCACCCAACAGTCTTTATTGCAAAAATGTATATGATTTTAGTTGTTTTGTTCCAAACACTAGTGGACGAGAAAAAAGACAATGGGAGCATAACACATTTAGTAAAAAATATAAACTAAAATATAAGCAAATGGAATATTATTACTTCACTATACTATATTTTGTTATGCTAAAATAACTCTTGAGCCTGTAATGACTTGACAATATTTTGTGACCATCGTTCTGTTAATTAATTCATATCTTTTTTTAAGAACACAAGAACAGTTATAAATGAAAAAGGCTTTTCAGCCCACATAGGCCATTTGGCAGATAGCAGCTAATTAAGTAGTTTAGGTTCTTGAAAGAGCTTCATTATAGATTTGTCAAAGCTATTATGTCGCAATACAGACTTGCATGAAAAATTAAGTCAAATATGATATATTAATAATATAGAAAGGACAGAGTTCAGCTGAAGAACATTTTAAGGTCCAAGTTATTTAACAGCAGAATTTAACAGCACATCTTTCAAACATAATACAACGTTCCGGAATGGTTATGTTATGAGAGGTTATTCAAACCATATCACAAGCCTGAAGACAGTGGTAGTGTTTCAAAAAACCAACAACTGTCGACAAATATAAAATGTTTAGTCTTTAAAGTTTCATAAAGCATTTTAAAATTAAAACATGAGGCTGAAATGCAATCATTTTTTCTAAAACCTGTTTAAAGCCTAGTATTATTTTGGGTATAATATATTTGAGGTTGATTGGAATACTGTACATGCTGCATGGGAGCACAGGTATAAACATAACAGATGGAATCAATTAAAACAAAATGAAAGGAAGCTTTTACATTATACATTATTTCACGTACCTTTCCAATTGCAAGTCTTTTATCATTAAATAGGAGACTTTCATCTTTAAGGGGTGGTGTATCTTTCAGGGATTCAACTATTACTGGAAAATAAAGTATACATATTACTTTTTTCAATGCTCTTTAAGTACAACACCAATTATTAATAGAGATATAAATCATTTAAGGTCTTGCACTATGACGTCTAAAGCAGTACGATGTATAAGTTTGAAGTATTAATACATTTTCCAGAAGACATTTTATACCCTTCTACATAAAACAGAAATATTGCTGCTCATAATTTAAATATAATTATTTATATTAACAAGTATTAACATTAAGAAAGAGCGGTCGTTCATCCCCTCTGCTTCTGGGATCATGTTAAAAGCTTCATAAGATGTCTCTTATAACGGGGCAGTGAATGTTTCTCTCCAATCGAACACAATACATTGATGATGCCAACTATACCAAAAGATTCATGAGTTATCAAAAGCTCTGTAATACACTATTACTTCAACGAATTGACAATAAAGGCTGTAAGTTATCAGGAATTGTAGAATATAGTCTCAGCAGAAAGAGTACACTCAAATCAGAACCTGATGGAGCAAAGATTTCCAGCTGCACTGGTTTGATTTTAAGTTCACAATTTTCTTTATGCCTATGCTACTGTGCACTCCTTATCTTTTTAAATCTTCAAGGTGTTTATTTGGCAATATGTTGAATTAAGGTTAATATTTCAACTGAGCTTGTTCATTGATTTTCCAAATGTATTGAACAGGAGTGCAAATGAATTAGGTAGGCAATTAAACCTGTTTACTGTTTAATGAAAACGTCTGGCTGCTCTTCTCTAGTTTCCCTACAGATTGTACTTTCATTATGTGGATGCAATATTCTATGTGTTTTAGCAATAGCATTTTATAGTTTCAATTTAGTGTCTTCTGTAGTACTTAGTTTATATCTGAGCATTATAAGCACGTCAATACTTGTTCTGCACCTAAACCTGTTTAACATGAATATAGCATAACACCTTACTCTTCTTCCCACTGTGCAATATCCACTGTGATGCTAACCACTGCATCTTTTATATCATTCACCTGCTGTAAATACAAATTCATACTACATCTTTTCATTCCTGTAACCTTCTATGTACATCACACTGTACTGTTCCAAGGTGTTGGTCCCCTGTCAAAAAACCTAAAGTAATTTAAAAAAAGCTTTCCATTTCCATTTGATTTTTAAAGTCTACAGAACTAAAAAGAAACACCACCACACACGAAATCACCTAAAATAGACCATACTCATCTTAATATTATTCTGTTTTCAATGAATAGATCTATGTTTTGCATCCTACTGAAGGGAGCTCACTACAGTTGTCAGTTTAATTGTCAATTATTCCCAAAGTACCTTGCCAAAGGCATTCTGATTACTATGGTTTACCACGAAGCCCTACACACCTGAAGTTTTTGAAGCTTCCTCTGGTTTGCCAAGTTTTCTTTTGTCTATGGAACCCCTGCTGACTATTTGCCATATAGGAAGTATGTCAAGCTATTAGAACATATTTACTTTATTTAGTTTTCTTCTTTGTAAATGTCCATATAGCAAATACTTTCCCTTTCAAGTTAAAGAAAAAGCTTTTAAATATATAGGTAATACAAGCTGTAATCTGTCAGGGAAGTTAAAAAATGAGTGCCAATGTTTTTGCTTAAGATGTACAATAAATAGAAGCTAGTTTGCTTTCATTAACAAAAGGTACAGCATTAGTTTTGAACTAATTATTTTGTTTTTTGCCTCCAATAGAAATATTTTGTCCATATTTCCCTGAAACTGCCTCATCATGTTGGTGTAAAAGCACAAAAACAGAATCCATTGGGCAAACGCAAAATTTAATTAAGCCTTAATCCTTATCTGGAAAGATAATTGCAGCTATTTAAAAAGCGTTAAGCTAAATCCATTCATTTAATCTTTTCTTGTACATACCTTTACTCAATGCATTTTTTTTTTATCATGAAGACAGAAATCTGTCCGGAAACCAGCTTTACAAACATATTTTCAAAATATTGACCCATCAATGCTTTTAATAACTACTATCTATAATTGTACTTTGGATCATATATAATATATATAGCTTATAAGCTAAAATAAATCTAAATTACAAGTTCATCTGTTAGCCAAAAGTCTGTCATGTTCCATTAGTACTATACTATGCATTTTATGTATCTATATCTGGGTTTTCAAATTGTGGAAGACCACTCTAAAATTTTTATTTTTGTTCTTTAAAAAGTAAAAAAAAAAGCATTATAGCATACAAAAACATTGAGTCAAGATTCTGACAGGCTAATTAAATTCTATGAGTACAACTGTAATGAATTAATGGTCAGGGTTTTGAGAGAGAATTAAAACTAAAAGAAATATGTTCCATTCCTAAAAAGTGCCAAAACTAGTGGTTTAAAGGAGTAAAATTGGTATATTGGTAAAAGTGCAGAACAAGGATACCAGTCCCACAGTTGTGCCCCTTATATGTCCACTACCCAAAGGGTAAGATGGAAGGTCTGTGCACAGACACCCTTTCCATGCATATAAACATAAATAGGAAAAAAGGAAGTATCATGGTTTATTAGCCCCCTCCAGATCTTAAGGTAAATCAACTAGGCAAAACATTGCAGTGGCATGACCTGTCCTCAGAGTCATTCAGTTTATTCTGGGATGTATAGACAAGTTGGAGGCAGTGTTTTTTTCATTTTGTATTTGACACTGGTCTGCCTTGACTGCCTCGACAGAGAGAGTGAGTTATTCCATAGCCTGTCTGGTGTAGCATGAGAAGAGATATTAATTATTTTTAAAGGTCATAATGCACTGAGAGCAAATTCAGGATGAAATGTAGCTCTAGGGGAAGGAGCTCAATGACTTAAAACAGTGGCCATCTCACTGTAACATCACACAATTTCATGCATTTATTTCCAACATTTTTAAAAAATATATTTGTACTACTCTTATAAGTAACATGGACTACTGAAATCATACAAAAGCATGTTGAAATTATATAACTTCTTAAAATGGTACAATATGTTTGATCAGTGGAAAAGTGATAACTACGAATAAAGAAGAAAATGTAGTGCTGAGACATAAAACCCTCATTGTGAATACCTAATTGCTCAATTATACTTGAGACTACTCCAATTGGCTTCACTTCAACATCTTCGGGCAGAATTATAGTCACATCTTCCACAGTTGGCAGGTCCTGTATGATGAGAAAAATAAAGATTTTCAGTACGTTTGCACATTATAGGTAGTGCACCAGTTGTAAACTACAATTGTTGTGCCTAAAGCAAAAACTTTTTTGATTGGGAATTTTAAGCACAAAACTGAAAAAAGAACACTTGATTTTAACATTTAACAAGTAACAGACATTCTATGTAAGCATAAATTTGACAAGAAACATGCCAAGTCCCTTTTTTTATCTGTTGAACAAACTCAAAATAATCTAGACAACCTGCATTGATGTATATCTCTTGGTGTCCTTGCTTAAACTGGAACTAGACAAAATCCAATCATCCAATGTACAATAACTGCAATGATGAATTCTGAATAATATTATATATATAATATTATAATTACATAATATAGTTGGTGACAATGAGACTATAGTGGAAGAATATCAATTAAATCAGATTTCTACACAAAATAAAACTTCACAGAAACATTTCTTATAAGATGTTTATTTTCTGGCAAATAAGACAAATAAACACTGTTCAGTCTAGTTTGAGTTACAGAAAGGCGAGTGATAACATTTTTGTAAAACACAGCTTTGTTAAAATAGCCATGATTTTCAACTGAAACAGATCAAAGTCCTCTGTCTCCAAAAGCAATAGTTTTCATTAAACTGTTTATTGCATTTCCCCGAAACTTTCTGAAGGCACACAATTAACCACATGAGCACATCTGCAGATGGGCTCTCTTGTACATATCTGCAAACCGCAGTCATCACTTATTAACTTCATCAACCCACTGCGCTGCAAATTGCTTATTGAAGATGACTCTGTATTGTGTTGAAAGATGTTGTGTCTTCTCTTATTAAATAAAAACCTCATTTTTAGATTATTCTGACATATTTTGAAAACTTTAGCAGAATGTTTAACCTAAGGCAAAACAGAACATGAAGATGTTCATGAAATAAAATTCTGATATCTTTGTGGTAGCACGTCTGTTAATAGATATGCTACCCGGTTTTTCTTTTTTTTCTTCTATTACTGTGGAGTGTTAACAATAATGTCTGTTAATAGATATGCTACCCGGTTTTTCTTTCTTTTCTTCTATTACTGTGGAGTGTTAACAAATCTCTAGCCTCAACGAACACCTGTGCCACTAATACATATCCATAGGATTGTTTCTAACACCTTACAGCTTCTTTAAGTAAATACACCAAACTTAATTTTAGTTTCAATGCAAATAATTAAGGTTCTAATGCGATATATTTCTACTCCAGAAGCTAAAAAATAGACCTATATATATAAACACCAAAATAACTTATCATCAAGGATGATGCTTGTATGCATCAATTTTTATCAATACTGGATTTCTTCTGTTTCATGCTAATCAAAATGCACAGCTTGCATATCGCATTAGTTAGCCTGCAGAACAGTGGTGGCCAGTCTTATAGGTCATTCTCAAATAATAAATTAAAACACGCTTGGAAAACCATTGCATTTTTTATTAAATTTGCTTAATGTGTCAATTATGTGAGGAATGGCCAACTGTGTTTTTTGATTGCTGCACATTGCTGGCATTTTCATCTCAATTGATTTCTAAATAGCTTAAATTTTAAAAAAAAAGAGTACAAAAAAATGACCAAACTAAATGACTGTTAATGTACTTGCACATGCACTTTCACTTAACAGTTTAATGATTCACACAGTTCATTTCCAATTGTTTTTCAGGTGCGTATCCATCCATTTTCTAAAAGCTTCATCCACTTCAGCGTCGTGGGAAAGCCAGAGACTAGCCCGGCAATTAACGGGCGCAAGGCGGGATACACACTTAATGGGTCAATTTTCCCACCAGTATGTTTTTGAACTGTGGGGGGAAATTGGAGCACCTGAGGAAAACCCACGCAAGCAAGAAAACCACGTCGGGAGCTGAAATCAGGGCCCCAGCGCTTTGAGGAAGCATTGCTATCCCTTGCGCCATTGTGCTGTCCCAGTTCTATATCAATATCCAGTAAACAGTTCATACAAACATAATAACCATAAGAAAAACTTCCACTAAAGGACTTTTTTTTTTGTACAGCAATAGAAGTAATTTAGCAGATGTATTAACCCAAAGAAAAGGGAGTTGTTGATAGCTCGACTTTGCCTATTCCATTTACAGTTAAAAACATAAATCCTGCTAATTAAGAAACAAGGTAAATAAGAAATATTATAGTCCTGCAGTTTATACACCCTCAAGTTTTTGGAGGGGAATTCATTAAATTCAATGCAAAATTCTGATTGAAAACAAAACTCCCATTATTTCCCAAGGAAAAGCTTGCAACTTCTTCCCAGCATCCACAAATTTACCCACTTTTATTCTGTTATCTTGTAGAGAACTTTGTCAAAAAAGAACATTAACGCATGTTCATTCATGTTTATGTTAATTAGTCAATTTATTTTAGGGCTGTAGTTAACAAGACTACTTTATAAAAACTGTAACTGTGGAACACTGGCACAATGAAGCCAAGTTCAAGGCCATCAGAATATCTTTCAGTCCTTTTCTATCCTATCGACCTCAAGTTTTACAGCCAGGGAAATGCTTTTCTTATTATGTTTGCATGAATAACACCTGAAGCACGGCAGCACTGGCAACATGCTTTGCCATTATATTAAAAATAAGGAGGACATTTAATGATGAACATTACTAAATGGGGAAAAGAGAGCTTCAATGTAGCAAAAACTCAGAAATACTGTAGATCATACGCATAGCAAGGAATGGGTGTATACAGTTGCATTTTTCTATGTATCAATTAATACAATATTCAGTCAATATTTTCAACAGAACAGATTTACATAACTATTATATTATGATATTTTAAATAATTACACTTCATAGGATTAAAAATCATATTCAGAGGGTAATTGGTTAAGTTTATCTAAACTGGCACCTAGGAAAGATGCAATGTCTACTTGGATTCAGTTCATCTGAAACTGAGAGCACAATAGAACTAAACCTTATCAGTCTTAAACAGCATCAGACAGGATCTGATTCAAGTATTGAAAGTCAGTACAATGGCCTTTAGATTTAGAAAATGACAGGCAAAAAACTGGAGGTACTTCTTTACCAAGGGGGTTGTGCCCAGCAGTGTTGTTGAAGCATGGTTTAAAAGAAACTGCTGGATGAGATCCTCAGATCAGTAAACAACCAAACATGAAAAACGGGCCGAATGGCATCCTTGTTAGTAAGACTTGGATTCTTACGCAGAGCACTACAATTGCCACATATTTTTCTTTTTATAGCCTACATATCATTTTTGAATCAAGAGTTGTGAATAAAGTGGGTTTACTGCTAAAGCCGTCCTAGCAGCACAGAAGGGAAAAGGATTAGTACAGGCCTTCTTGTAAAACTTGTATTATTGAGCCACCTGTCCTGTTTTCTCACATCAAAAGTTAGCAGTGAATGGAGAAACAATGAGGCTGTCATGGATAAACTCAAAGACACTCAGCAAACCACTGGGTTGCTGATATGAGGCAAGCCGAGATAAATCGAAACAACCTAGGACCACCCCTGCCACAGCTGACTTAGAATATGCCCAAAGTTAATCAAGTGATGTCCAGACTAAGGGTTAAAGAGTGCACTTTGGTGGTCGAATCATTCAGCATTCAAAAGGTGAACTGTTTGGTCATTTTGGTACATTTAACAGCTCCTGGGTGGTTTCAAAGCTTTGTGAAATTAGGTATGCAATCATGGCATGTTCTGCAAGTAATGTCCAGCTTTACTTTAAAACTTTATTTGTGAAATTCCATTGTGTATAAAAGTTGAAGAAAGTAACAAACAGGTTTATGTGCCTTCTACTACCACAACAGCTTTTTTCTGAACATTTTTTCATGCTGTCTGAGTAAACACTACTTCATGCTGTCTGAACAGCAGGATGGCTTTTACTTTGCAAAACAAGCACTGGAACACCAATAGTAGAGAACAAATGGTGCTGAAAAATACCAGCAATGCTAAAGTAATACCCCCACTGATTCAGTTTTTTTATTTTGAATCTGTGGACTGTGGATATGGGTTGTAAATTTCAGGACCAAACCTCAGTTAAACGGTCAAGATTTTACCTGTAGGAACTGTGTGGTAAAACATTTGTCAAATGAACAATAAAGATAAATGGAATAATATAACAAAAATGAAAAAATCAAATCAAATCCGGTTAAATTCACATTTTCCAACGGCAATATTTCTTTCGTTCTTCGATATTTATTCACTTAAAAATGGCATAGGGACAGCATGACCCCAAATTAGTAAATGGTGAAAATAAATGTTTCTACTATTCACTTTCAAAGACAGTACATTTATTAAGCCAAATAAAAAAAATACATGATCGAGAGCATTTGGTCACTTAAATGTTGTCAAACAAAGCACACTTTTCACTCAACATTTCAAAACTGTCTATCCATTTATCACATGAGGCAAAAGTTTCAGAAAAGAATGTGTCTTTAGCATATTTTGGAAGTACAACATAGTGTGTGGCTTAGCTTTGTCCTCAGGGTTTTGGCATTTACTTCCTAACTACCAATCATTATTGTTTAGTGTTTTTTAACTTCAACAATTTTAACATTATAATATTATAGTACACATAAAAACAGGATCCAAGAAGATTATTCAAACTTTTAGGATTTTAGTAATGCTAATGAATTGACAGATTGGCAAATGAGTCAAGAAGAACTAAAATGTTATAAAATACCTTATGAAAATGGACAGGTATTTCAATATTAAACATACAAAGACAGCTCGGTAGAAACCTAACATAGCCAGCCTATTCACATAGATTAAAATGAAACGACTATGTAGGAAATACTATACAAAAGGCTAAAGGCAAATCTTCTAGTAAAGATCATGATCAGGAATGAAAACACATGGGTGAATAAGAATCTGGCGAACACTAGTAGGAATATTACTGCTTCATTATGCAACAAATAATTAAGAGAAATGTCAAACTGTCCATAACGGTGGAACACTAAATTACACTTAACCAAAAATGTGTAGTAATAATAA